TATCTTAAAAGACAAAGAGTAATGGCGCAATCATTAAGTTAAAAAAAACCAACTTAATTGCTAAGTAGAAATTTTCGTCTCCTGATTTTTCTATTTGTCACGAACCGATTACACAAATACATGATTTATATCTATAAGCCAATAAAATATCGAAGTGACAATGTATTAAAAACCTGTCTTTTGGTCATGAGCATTTTTTGCAAGAAAATTGGTTCGTTTATTATTGTCTCGCGCAAGATTACAAAAGCAAATTCGGAAAATAAATTTTGTACTTCCGCCAACTCACTTATGTTTCGACTGTAAAACTGGCAATTTTGGCGTATGTCTGAAAATTATGTGTTGTTAGATAACAAGTATATATTTTCCCTTTCGTACGAAGAGTTATTATTTAAATCGGAATATCCAAAGACTGCCTTCGGGTACCGAGGAGATTATGAACAAAAAATTTAGAACTTCCACGGTTTATCCAAAAAAAACAAAAAAACAAGTATATATCTCTGGAGTAAAGAATTAGTATAACGCTGCGTATAATCAAATTGATTACTTAATTAAATAGCTTAAATATTCCATTTTTAGATATCATGTTTATGACTTCTACCAGTTTTCAATAAAAATGAAATTACTTATAGTAACAGCCTATTCTCTTAAGAAATATTTTATTCTTCAGTTCATACATTACACTTTATCGTATCTATGTTACAAAATTGATTTTGAATTCCCTTTAAGAGTTTACGTTGTTTCCTCGTTGTCACAGACTCACAGATCATCGAAGAATTGAAAAGTCATCGCAACGATTAGGAAAGTACCCAATTTTGGTCATTTAGCGGTTTTTTTCTTTTGCTTTTGAAAGGATAGTCTACGAAGTATACTGTGCAAGTGTTATTTGAAACGATAATGTACAAAGTAAATATACGCAAATGTTTGCTTTTAATAACTAAAATATATTAAGAGTATTTTATTTGACAAATTATAAAAAGATGTATAATTTATATGGGGTTTTGTGACTCAGAAATTGTAATTCTATTTTGCTCAGAGATTTTAGTAATTTTGAGTTATGTATTAACAAAGATAATTGTGTTTCAAAGAGGGCTAATCATAAAATGATTATATATGCTTGACACTTAATGATTGCATTTGCTTCATGTTATTAATTTCTCAATGTAATTCGTTCGAGGAGATTCTCATGTCGAACGCCTCTTCTTTTATATAATAAAATATATATTTTTTTTTTATCCCATGTTTGATTTTTTTTGTCTTACGTTTTGTTTATGTTTTAATGTTAAGAGAAAAAACTATGAAAACATTCATTATTCGTCTTAAATTATTGATTTGTTTTCCATATCTCTAGTGTGTGACAATTAACAAGTAGTCATTTGTGCTTCGACCCTATGCCGACATTTCACCGCAAGCATGTGAAGCAGTAAATCAGGTTCTAAAATTCGGTCACATTAGTTATCCAGCATATAATCCAAAACACTATATTTGTTAATATATACGATTGATCA